TTTGGTACCCTCTCACCTGCATGTACCGTGCACATTGGAACCGTCAATGTCACAAGTCGTATGTACATGCCCCCCCCCCCCAATCATCATAACATTCCTATTTTGTTTCTGGTCGCATTGTCTTAATTACCATACCATTCTTAATTATTCCATGCATGCCATTTTTGACAGATATATATTCACACCTTTTTTCATTCAGGTTGGAATGTCTTTATCTTCAATATAATGTACATGGCAAATTCTGTTTGTATTCAAATGACCATACCACAGAATGGGGAAAAAAGATAACATTGATAATGACTAAATGTTTGTAAAAATGACAGCTTTGGGAAAGAAGCTGCGACAGAACCCTGTAGCTCTGGCCCTGATCCGGCTGGCCCATTTGACCATATATCCAGGTGGGTAAACAGGTTTTGTGAGGGGTGCGAGGGGGCCTTTACTCTTGTGGCGGTAACGTATAATGAGGTTGGGGTGGGGAACCAGATGACAATCTGGTGGCCCTGTTGGTGATGCTGAGTTATGTGAGCAACAATGATATCAATGCATGGTGTATGTTTTATGTGTGTAGTATATATCACATTCTTTGGTGTGAACACAGGATGCACTCTTGGCATAAACTGAAATAAGTAAGCATAACTGCGGACAGAAACAGATGGCGGCTGTTGGCAGCAATAATTGGGATAAATCTGGCTGGCAGTCTTAGTCTGGCTGTATAAGTGAGCCCTCTAAAGGCCAAACGACAATAAGCATCTTTAAACGAGAATAGGAAATACAGTACGTGGAAGAATTTGTTTGTCCTGAACCTTTTGGAGAGAAGTGTGCAATTGAACAGGTTTTGCAATGCCTTTGGCAAAACTGCAAAGCAACACAATTATTGTCGCAGTCTACACGTGTAATATAATCAGCATAGCTGGAGTGTGAATTGCCTCCTAGATAAACATTTTAGATTAGTCGTTAGGGAACTCATTCATGTTCATACAAAAAAATGTGGGAGGAAAAATATTTGATATACTGATTTCAACACTTTAGTTCATATGAGGCTGTGCTTTGGTAAGTAGTGATTGATGATCGGATCTTGCAACAAATGGACTCTGTGTAACCAAGGGCGCATTTAGGTTTTGGGTTAGCTGAAGAGACTTCAGTTCTTGGACACTCCCCTGAATTTTAAATGATATGATTTCAGGATAATTTTATAGCAGTTTAACTTGTACTTTTACGTTTTTTTTCTGTACTGTACTTGAGTATAGTGTGAGTACTTTTGCCACCTCTGCGGATGAAAAAAATCTTCGAAGTACTGTAGCAAGGTCCAAAGTACCGTGATTTACTGTTGCGCATGCGCAGTTGTCCGTTTTGACTTTTTTTTTTCTCTCTCGTCTCACACTGGGGATTCCCCAGCGTGACTAAAACAGCTCAGCGCTTCACATGTCGGCTCTTCCCCTTCTCGCCTTGCATTGCTCATATACTCCCCGCCCGGAGGAGCTCGCCCCGCTACCGGATATCTCGACGACACACAGGCCGCTTCACTCTCCTCTCGCGTCCGCGATGTGAGTCGAAACTTTCACAGGCGCCAGCACAACACGTCACAAGCTAGCCACCGAAGCCTTTGAGCTACGTCTTTAGGCGCCCAGTGGCATGAAAGGCACCAGCTCTCGCCCTCGGCTCTTTCCACAAACGGCGGTCTTTTCGTCCTCGGAGCTCCGGTCTCCGGCGGCAGCACCCGCCACCAGCCATTGAATTGTATCCGGAGATTCGTCGCGGACGAACCGGGGAGACCCACGATGGCCAGCGGCGACTATCGCAAAGATGATTTTTTGGAGGAGAGTCGTGCGGACTCGGGCATTAACTCTTACTGTTCCTTACTGAAGTCCGAAGAGCGCAGCACCGAGCTCGGCGGGCCGAGGGACAAGTTTCCAGCCGTGGAAGAGCGCTTGGATTCGGCATATGGGTCGTCGTCACTGACGGTGGAGAGCCTGACAGAAATAGTAGAGGGCATCACTCTCGACAGAGAGGAAGCACCAGCGACAAGCTCTGGACTCTCAGAACAGGAGGAGAACATTATCACATCCATGACGGAAGATGGAGATACGTAAGTGGACGTTTAAAAAAAAAAGTTTACTGGCGACGTTTACTTGAACCGTTTCACCTTACATTGTTTGTTTTGATGCATTACTTCATTTCATGCAAAACATTGAAATCTTCGAAACACTACATTTATTTGCCAACGTTTTTTTCCCATTAACCGACACCAGTAACTCAAACATACAAATGACAAATGTTAACGAAAACCCTTTTTTTTTGCTCGTATTTGTTTCATTTTTTGTTCAATCGTGTGACATTGTTTTCCAATCACGATAGATGAGATTATGCAAATCATTCATACCAGTGCAGGTATGTGTTGGTTCGAACAGTCCAATCAGATGCGCTGCTCCTTGAACCCTAGATGGCGCAATTTCATGACGTCCTGTGACGTAACAACAATCATAATTTCACTTGGGTTTATCATTGGTCATATCTCCTTGAGGATCGAATGCAACTATTATTTTTAATGTTTCTCAAAAAACCCAAGTGTCCTGCTAATAAGCTTTTTTTAGTTACTACACTTATTTTGAATTCTTAGTGTTGTTTTTTTGCTTTTTGTTATGAGCCTAAATTAGCATTACGGGTGAGCTTCCATGGTTTGCAATCCATCCCCAGACTGACTCCATTCATTAGGCCACACCCCTCGAAGGCACACATTCAGCACACATATACTACATTATGTACACGTTTTTTTTAACTGTCGTTTTTCTTTGTTAAATACAAACCGACGGTGGTGTAGGACTGAAAAATGGTGTTTCAATCAATCTCACTGGGAAACTGATATGGCTGATTGAACTGTTCTACTACTTTAACATTCACCTCTTCTGATGTATCATCTGCCCCTCATTGTAAAATATATCAGCAACGTATACCATTCTGCAAGCACATATGCTGAAAAGAACATTGAGTTTGCCCACGATACCGGTATTGTAGGGGGTTTTCATATATTTAGTAGACTTGTCATGCATGCAGACAGACGGCTGTGAGGCTCTTGAGTGAGAAAACAGAAGTGAAAGAGAGAGGCCTGGACTTCCCCACGCGGCAGAGACAAAGCATGCGCTGTGAGAGCGGCTTGGCTGTTTTTTATCCAAGAAACTTGTTCATCAGGATAGCACAGTACTGGTTCTGTTTGTTTTTTTTTTTGTACGATTATTATCAAGAGATGATGTCATTCGACTTTTCCTACAAGATGTTGGCTTGTTTCAGTGTCATTTTGCCACTCTGCACCTTTTTTTTAATTGACCACACTCAGCGTTGTCGTCTCACGAAGGCCTCGTGTGCATGTCATCGTTGTTGCCATGTCAACAGTGGGCCTCGATTGACATCGCAGGCTCGGTATTCCACCAGTCAATGAAGCTGCAGAATTGTTTGCCGTGTGCCTGACCTCTTTTTGTTTCCGTCTGATGCTTGTCGGTTATGATGCCTCGCGGTTTCACTCACACGCATTGTCAATATTTGCCAGGGGAAGGAGACGCATACAAACGCACTGCAGCTCACATTAAAAGCCATGCAGACTGTAGTTTTCCTCTGTGGGATTATTATTATTTTTTTGGTACTTATTCATTCAATGCTGACTCAAACCAGGAAGACATGTCTTGATGCAGACATTTGCTCGCATGGCTGACCCACTCGTCTGCGGTCTTTTAAATGTGATGCTTTAGCCATGTAATTGGCGTACTTTGTGGAATGCGTTGGATGTGAGCGCTTGTAAAGAGCAACTATTGCTACTCTACCGCATTATGCTGTAATATATCACATTATGAGCAAAACGTTTTTGTTTTTTTAAGCACTGGCAGCTTTTTATTTGGCCTTGCACCGTTGCTCAACAGAAACTAAAACAAGAGCCCCGTAACTGCAACTTGGCTTTCTGTGTTGTTGTAAAGTTTTAGCTCAGTATTTTTTTCTTTTTTACAAGTGTGGGAATAAACACTTGTCAAATCTAAATTAAGCTCTCAAGCTTGGTTCCATTTCCTGTCTTTTGTACACAACAACGCAACATTTAATTTGCTACAACTTCCCCTTCAGGGTTTGAGGTTACTGTTTTTTTTTTTTTGTGCAATTAAATGTTATTTTCCATCCTTTGTATTTCAAAATGTAAACTGTTTGTTAAGCGTTTGAATGATTAGTGAGTAAATTTGACAAGTCATTTGTGTCTGCTGTCTGATTTTTACTTTTATTTTTTTGCTGCTTCTGTAGAATCCTGCACCTGGCCATCATCCACGAGGACACAGTCATTGCAAAACAGTTGATCCAACTATTTCCAAAAGAAGTCCTGGACATTCAGAACTATTTGTATCAGGTAAGTTCTTTTCACGACAATACTCATTATCGACCCTAGAAATTTCCAGTGGGTGGCTGCTGTGTTAGCATGTGGATTGTGGAAGTTGTTTTTCTTTTGTTTTTTTTTTTTTTTTTTTGTTAACTATATACTTCCAGAGAACTATTGTTCCTCTTTTATATACAGTCAGGTCCAGCCTCCCTTTGGGACGTCCCCGTAGGCGCTTCCAGTGTTGGCTCACTAGTGACTTTCAGTGGAAACTCCCGTGCTCTTCCTCGGCAGAAAAAGAACCGTGGCAAGCTGCGCGGTGAATTGTTACGAGGCTGCGTGATCCGTCTGTTGCCTGTAGTTTAAGGCAAAGTGAAAATGGAGCAAAGTGACACAAGTTGTCAGTGGAAACCTCAGAAGAGGCGAAGTTCATGCTCAGCAATGACTCACTTAGTCCTCTTCTCTTACCCCAGTCCACTTTGCTTGCCTAATTTCCTCTTGGTAGTCATTTGAAGACATTCTAACATTTGCACACAGAAACAAAATCAGCCTGCGTGTTTTTTTTTTTTTTTTAAATAACCACCACCCACGTACGTTGCCTAGTTATGCTGTCTTCGCTGCATGATCCTTCATGTTTTTGATATTAGGGGCCCGTTGTTAGCACACTTCTCTGCACCATTTCAAGATGAATAACACAAAAACTTTCCCTGTAATTCACGCGCTGGTCAAACGGCCGCCAGTTTTAATTGAGGAGTAAACCATGTCCAACGTGTCCTATTGATGACTTGTTTCTGCAGAGTCCTTTGCATCTGGCCACCTACTTGAACCTGACCGACGTCGTCAAGAGTCTCGTGGCCAAAAGCGTCAGCATTGAGCTGCAGGACCGGGACGGAAACACGGCGCTGCACGTGGCCTGCCATCACGGCCTGACCATGTGCGCCACAGAGATGACCAGTGAAATGTCCCCCACCAAGCTGGCCCTGGTCCTGGAAACCCAAAACTGGAAAGGTGAGGTACAAACACTCCACTGCTGCAAGGCCTCACCATTCACATCTGCCATTGTTTTTTTTTTTTTTTTTTACTTAACTGCTGATATAGTGCATGCGATATATAGCACATCCCATCACTGTGTACCTTTTTTAAATTATTGTTTATTTTTTAATTTTGGAAAACCACTAACATGACGTCTCTCATTCAATATCCACATCTCTAACCACAAAAATCCACTCGCAGGTCTTGCCTGTCTTCACTTGGCAGCGCTGAGCAGGCAACACCAGATTCTGAAACTGTTGATGGCAAAGGGCGCAGACCTGAATATCAAGGTTAGTGTAATCACTCTCTCGTTTGCATGCTGCGTGTAGATCTTTTTGGGGTTTTGGTGGTTTGGACAGTCTCAAAAGAAGTATTAGTCACCTATAATGAGCAGGTGATAAACTGGGAACACTTCATTACTCATTTAAAGGGATGTGACGATGCGGTTAATATTCTACATTCTGTATTTTGGAATGAAAATCAAAGGTTAATTTGGCTGGTCTGAGCAGTGCCGCCTAACTCGTCGAGGATCATAATTAGATCTTGGATTTTTATTTTTTTTCTATGGAAGGGAGAACAGCGTAGTCTTCAGTTTAGAAGCAACCTCATATCGAGCTATTCTTTCTGCCCTCCCTTCGATACAGGAGGGAACCAGCGGCAAAACGGCGCTCCATCTCGCTGTGGAGATTCACGACACCACGTCGGTGAAGCTGCTGCTCAACGGTGGCGCCAACGTGGATGCCGCCATGTTCAATGGCTGCACGCCGCTCCATCTCGCCGTGGGGCGGCAAGACACGGCCATCGCCAATCTCCTCTGCCAGTCCGGCGCCGACACCATGCTGCGCAACGTGGAGGACGAGACTGCGTTGGACCTGGCCGATGGCAACAATGATGTAAGACGTCCGAACAACAAGGAGCAAACGATGTCTGAAACCACTACGGTGTTGCTCTAGCACTACTTTGTGTCTTTCAGATTCTGGCTCTCTTTCCATTTGATGACATTCAGATTTCGGGGAGGTCAGTGGTTGGCGTGAACTTTTGAGCTACTGTATGGCGCTGCATCGCATGCTCATGAAGATCAATCGGGCTGACTGGATGTTGGCAGCAATCTCTCATTAGCAAAACTGTCTTTGAACTGTACTATTTGTTGTACTTTGTGTTTGAATCTGTATTTATATGTTCTATAGGCATCATTTAAACTTTGTCTCTGGGATTAAGGCGCCATTCTGCTTAACCATCTTTGACTTGAACCCTGAAAATAACAATCCATTTGATACTCAGCTCTTGACGGTCATGTTTGCATCAGGACAGACATTAAAAGTTCTTCAAAGATCTACCTCTTTCTCATCAACACTTTCAATAGCTAGTAATCAAAATTTGAAATGGCTTTTCCCCTGGTTTCTAAATTTCACCAGTGCAGAATTTGTTTGGCTGCTTTTTTTCAAGCACAGCTTTTTGTTATAAGACTGCATAATTCCACGTGGAAGTGTAATCTGTGATATCACATTTTTTGGAGTTTTTGCTTTACTGATTGGTGTTACAATAATTGCACTGGCCAGATTAGTTGATGACAGTAGTTTCACGCTCGTTAATTTTGTAATAAAATGGATTAAAAGATAATTGCATCCTGTCATCTTTGTGCAAATGTGATTCTGTGACAACTGACTGTTTTCAAGAGTCATCACCCAAGATGCTGGACAATATCGGCTTAAGGAAGAGCTCACCAACTTGAGCTATAATCAGGTCCAAAACACCTGAAAGATAAGAAGTCTACACGCCACTCGTCTAAATTCGGGTGTTTTATGATATTAAACATGAGACCAGATCGTTTCAGGGTATGCACACTTGTGCAATCACAACTCGGTCATTTACTTCCCATGAAAAGATTTCATTGTTTTTCAATTAAGTTGTTCAAATTATTTGTCGTATGGGTGGCGAATGTTTTGGAATGATTTATCTGGCCTTTTTGTATACTGGCATTTGAACGGGGACGTGGAGACTATCTCATCTCAACGAAGACTTACTTGCACCGAACAAAACATGACGTCAGCCTAGAGATGCAATGTTGCAATAACTCCCCCACAATGACAGGAGGCGCTAGTTCAACGTAGTTTCATCCGCAACCCTCAACGTTAAGAAGAAGAGAGCGCATTTCCTGTTGGAGTCAACATATCGCGGCTTTTCATCCTAAATAGAAGCTAGCAGACTAAAGGCAGCTAGTCTCGGAGAAAACACATCCTCGGTTATCTGCGTCTTCCCAACGGACCGACTTTATGCTCCGTTTCGGCGTTTGAGTGTGTCGCCGCTGCTGCGCCAGGTGTTGGGTGGAAAATGACATCTTTTTCACAAAGGTAATGTTGGAGCAGCGGAGCAAACGTTGAAATAAGCGAGGACCGCTCACCGAGGCGAAGTTGAGACCAAGTCCCTCTCCGTCGACGAGCGAAATAAAATACATTTCTTGGGGTCTTTTTTAGTAACTCGTTGTATTCCTCGGCGCCATGTGTGATTTTCCACTGCTGTGATGTTTGCAATGATGTTAAGTATACCGTGACGACGAATCCATTATGAGATGCTTGTCGAGACAATGTTTTAACATTTGTTACTGATCTAATTTGGAGAGTAGGTGTTGGTGCTGCATTTTTGCAACAATGTTGAACGCGCAAGGTTAGACGCCCAGTCTTTCCACACTTGAATCAGAACACGCTTTACCGTAGGTAAAATGAATGTGTTGTCTGTCTTCCTGAGCCAGTCGGTCCTTGAGTCTTCCAAATAATCATTCTATTCATTTTGTTTTTATAAGAGACGAAAGCAGGTCCCACAGACCCAAACACCATCCAAGGGTTGAACAGGTACCCTTCACAAGCAGTTGAAGCCTTTAAACTTGCTGGCCAACCTGCGCACAGCATTCCTGCATGCAATTGACTGCTTGTTCAGGTTGAGGTTCTGCTGCAGTGGGCTCCTGGCAGTCCAAGCCACAGGCCAGTCTCGCACAAAGACGTACTGTGTGAGTCAGACATGGCGACCTCACCCCGAGTGGGATTCGATCCCTCTGCCACGGAGGCAAAGAGGCACACCTTCTACTTTCATTGACTTATCCATGCCATCTAATCTGAGCTGAAAAATACTGAATGGAAATTATATTTCTATTTCCGACGAAAAGCTCTGTAAAAATCATGTTAATTTATAGAGCACAACCATAGCTGCATTCAAGGTGATGTGCATCAGTCATACAATTAAAAAAAGAGAGTTGACACGTCACAGATGTAACGGCCATTCGAAAATGCAACGTATCAGATCAAGAGTTCAAATCTCCATTTTTTTCTGGGGTGTGTGAATTTATTTCTCGTTCCAGTTTAAAGTTTTTTTTTCAACCTTGCACTAACAGCAGTTACTCCGATGCATGATTTGTTGAAAACAAATGTTTTTCCTCCTTCCCCTTTACTCGTAAATTATAGAATGTAGGCAAACGCCACTGACGGTGTCACTTGGTAGCTTATATCGTTGGCCGTACTGCTTCTGGGCTCCAACTCATCCGCAACCTATCGATAATGGATTGACGGATAGATCTTTGAGGAACCGCTATTGGCGTTGTTCTTGCTTTTTTTTAATTGAGAATGTTGCCTTTTGTGTGATCGCCTCACAGGGTTTGTCCTGCCCTGGTGTTGCTCATCTTCTCATCTGTGGTTACCGCGCAAGAAGAGTCCCCCTTACAGGATGACTGGCGTGATGTGTGGCTGTTTCGCTTCCTGGTCAACGTGCTGGGATACTCAACCATAATTATCCCTGGCTACCTCCTTATCCGCTACTTCAAGCGTACCAATTACTTGGACACGGGTGCGGTTTTATTTCTGGCGTGCTGTGATCCCTTTTTGCTCGAAGTCGACACACCTTATGCAGTACTTAAATTATTTTTCAGGTAGTGGCGTCTTTTTTCCGGTCATCAAGGCCTGCGTATTTGGAACGGAAGCAAAGTCGGCCCTGCTGGACGACGTGTCCATCTCATCCAGGAACGAGGGGGATTCGGGCTCGGCGCTGGGACAGGCTGGCCGCTTGATCTTTTGTGCTGCTGGACTTCAGGTGAGGATCCTCCCATTATGCACACAAGAATATATATGTAAGCTTAAAAAAACGAGCCGGTTAGGATCCTGGACTTTTTATGCTTCTATTTGCTTGGATACAGGGAGGACTGGTTAATGTTTGTTTTAAGAGGCAGTTTGGGAACAGCTCTTGCAGTCTTCAGTACGACACCTCCACAAACAAGTGTGGCGTGAACATAAATCAGTTCGTCATAGATCAGCTGACAACAATATCTTTCGGAGGGCCAGCTTTTGCGATTCGAACGTTTGCCTTCCGCGACATTGCGGCATCGATACGAATTTGATTCATTGCTCAGCCCGAGTTCCCACCGACCTCGTGCTCATTATGCTGTTTTGGTGTGCCAGGCGTCATACCTGACATGGGGAGTCCTGCAGGAAAGGGTCATGACCCGATCCTACGGCGCCTCCACTCCAGAGGAGGAGGGCGAGCGCTTCAAGGACTCTCAGTTTTTGGTCTTCATGAACCGGATTTTGGCCCTGACCGTGTCGGGCCTGTGGTGCCTGCTGTTCAAGCAGCCTCGCCACGGCACGCCCATGTACAAGTACTCGTTCGCCTCGCTCTCCAACATCATGAGCAGCTGGTGCCAGTACGAGGCTCTCAAGTACATCAGCTTCCCCACTCAGGTCCTGGCCAAGGCCTCCAAGGTCATTCCCGTCATGCTCATGGGTAAGATGATTTCCCAGAAGAGCTACGAGTACTGGGAGTACCTGACAGCCGCGCTTATTTCCGTGGGCGTCAGCATGTTCCTGCTGTCCAGCACGGCCGGCAAGCACCCGTCCACCGTCACCACCTTCAGCGGCGTGGTCATCCTGGGGGGCTACATCGTCTTCGACAGCTTCACCTCCAACTGGCAGGACAACCTGTTCAAGTACAAGATGTCGTCTGTCCAAATGATGTTCGGGGTCAACCTGTTCTCTTGCCTCTTCACGGTGGGCTCGCTGCTGGAGCAGGGGGCCTTGTTCGACTCGGTGGCGTTCATGGCGCGTCACTCGGAGTTCGCTTTCCACGCCGTGCTGCTGTCCGTTTGCTCGGCGTGCGGCCAGCTCTTCATCTTCTACACCATCAACCAGTTTGGCGCCGCCGTCTTCACCATCATCATGACGCTGCGGCAGGCCATCGCCATTCTCCTCTCCTGTTTTCTTTACGGCCACGCCGTCACCCTGGTCGGCGGCTTCGGCGTCGCCGTGGTGTTCCTGGCTCTCTTTTTGCGAGTGTACGCACGTAGTCGGATGAAGTCGGGCCGGCGGCAGGCGCTGCCGATGCCGCAGAAGGTGTAGCGCTCGCGCCAAACTGAGGACTGAAACCACGTTTTCTGTGGTGTTTTTGTTTGTTTGTTTTTTGAAACGGCTCACATCTTCTGTTCGTGTGTGTCAGGTACTTAAAGGGATTCTTTGTCGTTCTTTCGACGTTCTGTCGAGTTGAGAGTTGAGTTCTGTGCCTCCAAGCGGTTCATGAGATTCTGTTCCACGACATGCCTCTTCCCAGTCACAAGATGTTCTCTCCCTCCCACACCACCTGTGGCTGATGTGGCCACTGCTAGTTGCTGAGAAAAAAAACGATTCCATAAAAAGTTTGAGAAATTCATCACGTTTCAGGATGAACCTAAAATGCACTGGAACCATGAGAGGAGAACTTAGTTTGACCCTCCCTAAACTTTTGAGTTCCCACTGTCTTAAAAAAAGGACTAATTTCTCCGAGACCAGTCATGGCTCAGCTGTTTTCTGGGTTTGGTCATGTGAGCGACTGTTATGTCATTTACAGTCGACAGCACAGTGGCAAAATCCCCGCCCCCTGAGATGGATGAAAACCAGGTGGATGTTTCATCTGATTTTATATTCCACAAATACTTATCAGAATGCGATGTTTTGACCAGTGCGGGCGCATAGACATAGAACATTTTTTGTTGATGTGGCTTCCCCTTAAAATGAAGTCAAAGGAAGTTGACCTGTAAAGGTTATAACTCCCATTTTAGGTTCCCCCTGTAATTTCCCCCGAAAGCTCACTTTTTGTCACCAGCGTATGCCAGCTTTGTGGACAGAACTGTTAAGACTTTATGAAGTTGGCCTTAATCGCGACTGAGCACTGGAACAAGATGATCAATATCATAAAAACGCTGTGTTTGTCTGTCACAGTCGCCAGATGTGCTTCCCATGCGGAGAGCAAGCGGCCTTTGTTTTACCAGGAAACTGCGCATATACCTTGAACCCACTACGCGGACACTCAATTGCCACATCATTCGAGGTCCAAATCCACTTTCACAGTCAATTGCGGAATTGTCTTGTTCTTGTTTCGGAACGTAATATTGTTGCCCCCGAGTTTATGTGTGCGCACTACTTTGTGCCAATTGTGGGCCCTTGACATGACCAAAAGAGATGCTATGAAGGAGTTCTTTTTGTGCTGCATTGTTTTTAAGACACTTTTGTTAAAAAAATTGTCTTCACATCATAGCATCTTTGAATTTGTTTCTATCCACCATGTTGGTTGCACTGCCTCCTGTGTTCGACCGCTCCATGACTGATGTGCGGGGACGATCCCCCATAAACACATTCAAGGGGTGGTACAGTGTAACTTCTGTTACTTATGGTAAGTGGATTGATTAATAATAAAATACTTATTAATATATCATGGTGTTCCCGTTCCTTTAGTTAAATCTTTGATTCAATTTCCTGAGATCACATCGACTCGTTGAACAGGAAATTCACTTTTCAACAGGCCAGTTTCCATTCAAAAATATTTTGGGTGGTATTTTACCTTTTGTTGAACAGCATAATTACCTCGGGTATATATTTAGCTGCTGTGGTTGCTTGGAAAGTTGGAGGGGAAAAAAAAGCTGACATTTGACAATGACATAACAGTAACTGTGAAATTGATATCCCAGAAGTGTGATGATTTGGTGTTCTTTTTTTCCCCTTTCTTAGCCATATAATCCCGCCCTTGGCTGACTCACAAACCTCAACGCGTATTATGATTCACCGCGCATCAACCTGAAGGCCGCGTTTTGACTGTCATATGTAGGAACTCGCTCGCTGTCCTCTTTGTCACTCGCATAGCTGGAGCAAGGACGGAATGACCCACCACCATGTTGAACATCTCTTCCAGTTTCAAGTCAGACAGACAGCAGCCGCATGACCGCAAAGGTCACCAAAAGGTATGTCACAGACCACTGGTGAAACGCTAAGAACCCCCCACCCCCCACATACACACCATGTTTGCACATTTGTGGGTGGAAAGCATTTAATAGTCACGTTTCCACAGGTTGTATAATGTTTGCATACTGCCGTAGGATGAGCTGCACTCTGTTTACAGTAGCTAGTGACTAGATCGCATTTGAGTGACCTTTCCTCACAGTTACCTAATATTCCATGTGGGAATTCCCAAAAAATTATCTGCTAGACCCATTCAATAGCTAGGCTCAAAATCTGCTCTGTTAAGTATTTGTAGAAGAAAAAAAACAAGAGGGCGCTGGTGTGCTTTCTTGACAAAGTTCCCTCTCTACATTGACGTCGACTAAAACATGTACAAGGACACGCGCCCTGAGAGGTTGTACACTATTGATAAAATGCACAACTTATGGGAAAACGAACGACGTTTTGGCAGGTTGTAGCATGCCCCATTTCAAATGCCAAGTTGTCCATTAACAATACAATGCTGTATTGAGACACCAAGTCATCGTACAGACCAAAACGACTCCAAATCTTGGCCAAGGGTCACCACTTTGCTCCCAGTTTAAATCTCAAAATGTCTTTCCCAGTTGCTAACTTAAAACAAAAACATCAACATTCAAGCGAAGTAACCTTCAAACACTGCTTTCACTTGTACTGTAGTGCAAGTTGCCCCCCCCTAGTGGCTAATAGAGGGACAGCACACGTATTGTGATGTCACCGCAACTGAAGAGCCAAAGCCAGACTTGAGTTCAGTATTGCATTGTTTATTTTTTGCAAAACAATACTTGACTACAGACAAGCCTGGACTCAGGCAAAGGAATCTTAGTCAGTCCTCTCTCTCCATGCAGCGTGCAGTGTTGCTGATGATCAGAACTCACCCAAACTTTCACCAGACCCTACAATGGAATGTACCATTCCCATGTTCACTCCCACATTTAAAACTCAGTGCAACAGGGTACTTGATAAAACAAAATGTGCGGTCACCACCAACTTTACAGCAAAAAAAAAAACAACCAAACTGCTTCTCTTTAAAAAGGAGGGTCTTGCAGATAAATGCTCTTCAAGAGCAACACTGGTCCACCAAAACGACATGAATATTTGTTTTAAAGTTACTGCAGTTTAAAGGATGAACAATAGAAACGTGAGACCGAGTGAGAGAAATCTGGAGCGGGGCGTTTAATCAACTTCTTCCATGCGGGAAGTGTCATCCTCGCCGTCGCCTTCTAGTGGAGGAATTTCGTCTGGGGCGGCTGCGGAAGCGGGTTCCTCGATGGGGACATCGTCATCGTCAATACCTAAGGGACAAAATGGAGAAATAACAGATTACAATCCTGCTTCAACCACCAGTGGTGAGCCCTCATCAATTAATTATCTAAAAATTGACCAACATCAATGTTAAGGCCTGCGTTGGTGAAGTTTTCTTTTGCAATCGAATTATTCAAGTTGAATCAAATTATAGCAGCTCAGGTTCCTGTACGGCGTCTGTAAAATCTGAGTGGTTCTTTGATGCAACTCCCACTGTATACCCACACTCTGGATGTTCTTACCAAGTCCGAGTTTGATCATTCTGTAGATGCGGTTGGAGTGGGTCTGTGGGTCATCCAGGGAGAAGCCAGAGGACAGCAGGGCGGTTTCGAACAGCAGGATGACCAGGTCCTTGACGGCCTTGTCGTTCTTGTCGGCCTCGGCCTTCTGTCGCAGGGTCTCCACGATGGGGTGGTCGGGGTTGATCTCCAGGTGCTTCTTGGCCATCATGTAGCCCATGGTGGAGTTGTCCCTGAGAGCCTGGGCCTTCATGATCCTCTCCATGTTGGCCGTCCAGCCGTACGTGCTGGTCACGATGCAGCAGGGCGACGACACCAGGCGGTTGGAAACGGTCACCTGCGTGGGAGGATTACGGCACATCAGGCATGCAGTTTCAAAAGGCAAACCTAGGAGGGGGGTAAGTAGCATGCGACTCAAAAAGTGATTTTCATGTTCACTGACGCAAAACCAAACTTTTTCAGACCAGGCAATGTTAAATGACATTCACGAGTTAGGTTTGTCAAAATGCATTTGAATCTATTCAAAACTCTGCAGGGTGGACTCACCAGAGTACAAGTAATGTTCAACTAAGGCACCTGTTGTAACAACACAACTACGGTTGGGGGAAGTCCAAATGCTTTGGCATTGATGCAAAGTTGTCGCAATTCCGCCTACCTTCTCCACTTTCTTGTCCAGGATCTCCTTCATGAGCTTGCAGAGGTTCTCAAACTTGGCCTTGTCCTCCTCCATTTTTTTCTTCTCATCTTCATCCTCAGGGAGCTCCAGGCCCTCCTTGGTGACGGAGACCAGGCTCTTGCCGTCAAATTCCTTAAGCTGCTGCACACAGTACTCGTCGATGGGCTCAGTCATGTACAGGACCTCGAAGCCGCGCTTGCGAACGCGCTCCACAAAAGCGGAGTTGGCCACCTGGTCCTTGCTCTCACCTTGGGGGAAGATTACATTTGAGGGTAAGTTAATAAAAATTAGAGCGATACTTCAGAATAAGATCTTATAAAGCCAAGCTGAAGGCTGACCGGTGATGTAGTAGATTGACTTCTGGTTGTCCTTCATGCGGGTGAGGTATTCTGTGAGGGAGGTGGTCTCGTCTCCGGACTGGGAGCTGTGGTAGCGGAGCAACTCAGACAGCTTCTTGCGATTTTGGGAATCCTCATGGATGCCCAGCTTGAGACAAATGGGCAATTTTTGTCAAAAACCTCACACGATTTATACGAATTGGACAAACGCTTTTGACGAATTACCTTGATGTTCTTAGAGAAGCCTTCATAGAACTTCTTATAGTTCTCTTTGTCCTCAGCCAGTTCCGCGAAGAGCTCGAGGCACTTCTTCACGATGTTCTTGCGGATGACTTTCAGGATCTTGCTTTGCTGCAGCATTTCTCTGGAGATGTTGAGGGGCAGGTCCTCAGAGTCCACCACGCCACGGACAAAGTCTGGGGACCACAAATCGCATACCGTCAGAACATCAGAAACAGAGCGGCCCGGCAGACCCCCGCGACGCTCGGCCGAAGCGTAATCTTACTGAGGTACTCTGGGATGAGCTCTTCGCAGTTGTCCATGATGAAAACTCTCCTGACGTACAGCTTGATGTTGTTTTTCTTTTTCTTGTTCTCAAAGAGGTCGAAAGGCGCACGGCGAGGGATGAAGAGCAAGGCGCGGAACTCAAGCTGGCCCTCCACAGAGAAGTGCTGCAAGGAGGTGATGAGGAACACTTGATCTCCAAATCTCATGCAAGGCAACCTTTGAAATGTAATTGGCTTTGCCCAATTACCTTCACAGCCAGGTGATCCTCCCAGTCATTGGTCAGACTCTTGTAGAACTCCCCGTACTCCTCGTTTGTGATGTCGTCGGGGTTTCTGGTCCAGATGGGCTTGGTCTTGTTCAGCTCCTCCTGGTCAATGTACTTCTCCTTGATCTTCTTTTTCTTCTTCTTGTCCTTGTCTTTGGAGTCGTCATCCTCATCCTCGTTGACGTCTTCGATCTTGGGCATGTCCTCGCCGTCCTCTTTGTCTTCCTTGTCCTCGGCCTTCTCCTCCTCTGCCTCGTCGTCGCTGATCTCCTTGTCGCGCTCCTTCTCCACCTACGCGCCACATTAGCCGATGCGGTTTAGAGTGAGGCTTTGCACAATATGCAGCACACAAGCCAGCGATACTTACAAAGAGAGTGATGGGGTAGCCAATGAACTGGGAGTGCTTCTTCACAATTTCCTTGACTCTCTTCTCCTCAATGTACTCCGTCTGGTCCTCTTTCAAATGCAGGATGATCTTTGTTCCGCGGCCAATTGGCTCTCCTGCGGAGAGTTACGCAACCATGAATGCACAGTGTTCCAACAGGGTGTCAAAAGTAAACAAGGGCGGGCTTCAGGTCAGCAGGGTTTGGACAACCTACCACTGTCGACGGCGACTGTGAAGGAGCCACCAGCGGAGGACTCCCAGGCGTATTGCTCATCGTCATTGTGTTTTGTGATGACGACCACTTTTTCAGCTACGAGGTAGGCGGAGTAGAAGCCCACGCCAAACTGACCGATCATGGAGATGTCAGCTCCAGCCTGAAATAAAAAAAGTCGAAGTTGCAAAAATTAGAGGATTGATAAGACTGCGTCGATACCATACTAAGACACTGCCGCCCATAGGAACCTCACACTATGATAAGCAGTGGAACTAATTTCTCTCAATCACATCGTTTCGAGTGCCCTGATGCTTCAACTGAAAAATTCTCACACACACAGACAGCCATTTACCTGCAGGGCCTCCATGAAGGCCTTTGTGCCAGACTTGGCGATGGTTCCCAGGTTGTTGATCAGGTCAGCCTTGGTCATGCCAATGCCGGTGTCGATGATGGTGAGGGTGCGGTCCACTTTGTTGGGAATGATGTCAATCTTCAGATCCTTGCCGCTGTCCAGCTTGGTTGGGTCAGTC